TAAAGGTGCTAGCTTTTTCTTTTTCTTTTCCCATTTTCATTCTTTACCAAACTGAGTCCCTGAAGGGCAGGGCCAGCCACCTCTTAGACTATGCCCCTGGCCCAGCAGACTCTGCATCTGGCAGCCACTCCACAAATGCTCACTAGACACATTCACCTCCACACCTCTGTGTACAACTTGATTTCCAGTCTCATTTTTGAAGGGCCAGAATAGAGACATAAAGTAATTTGGGTTTTAGAACAGACAAGATTTAAAAGCTGAGGATATGCGCCTCTGACCTGACCCAATCACATCCTGCCTCTTCACTGAGCAGTCTTCGGTGTCCTGGGTATTCTGGGGCCAAAGAGCACTGTGTGGCCAGGGAGGCCCAGTTAGAGATGCCATAGGACATCTGAGTCCTCAGCTGATCTGGCAGAGGGAGCAGGGAGTCCGGCCTGTGGAGCCTGTAGGCCTGGGAGAGGCCCATGGAGGAGGTAGGACTGTGCTGGCTGTGGAGTGTTTGTAGGGTTCAGATAAGTGAGAGAGGCAGCAATGGCCTGGGCAGAGCCAGAGGGGTCCCGGGAAGACAGGCCAGTGGACGGCCAGGCGGTTGTAGCAAACGAGAAGCAGATGTGAGAGTTTTGTGGGGGTGAGTCTTGCCTGCAGAGAAATGAAATATTTTTTTTCAAGATAAAGGTAGTGGGGGGGGGGGGGGGGGGGACACGAGTCTGAGCCTTCTGAACGTGGTCAAAGCCAGCAAGCAGGTCCCCAGTGAAGATTACAGGACTCACGGTTTTGACATGGAGACTGCAGGGAAGCTGGTACCACCGGAGCTAGTTGGAAAGGGAATTGTGGCTATTTTTCTAAGAAACACCAATTAAAGATGTCAGATTTGAGGTAGAGAAACCTGGGTTTTAATCTGTCTTTCCCTTACCTGCTAGGGTAGTCTTGGGTAAGCTACTTAAGCACTTGGGGCTTCCGTCTTAGCACATATAAGATGGGAATGATAGTGAGTGCTCAGTGCTTGTCACAGAAGGTTCTTGAGACTGGAAGGAATGAGAGATACTGATGGTAGTGCTGGTGACACCAGGATTAAGTGATGGGAGCAGTGGATGGCCACAGGCTGACATGCAGATGAAAAGTGAAGTGTTAAACAGTGTTCCTTTTCTGATTGGACAATTAGGGGCCTGATAGCTCCTCTTGCAAAGACCTTTCATCTATAGTCCCAGCTTGACTGAGGGTTGGATTCAAGGCAGAGACGGGCCTACCTGTGTGGTCTGAGAAGGCCGCTGGAGAGCAGTGGGACACCGAGGGAGAGGTGCCTGGAGCCTCCATCAGAGTTCAAGAATAACTCTCAGGAGAGAAGTTGGCACTTGGGCTGAGAGGAGGCATTTGAGTGTGGGAGAGTAAGGAAAGTTCCAGAAGGGCTTGGGAGGGAGGAGGGAGGAGCAGCCAGATGGCAGGTGGTTCAGGCCTCGCTTAGCCCCCTAGGCCTTAGGCTGGGATCAAAGTGAGAGATGAGGCTCAGAAGGAGGGGCATCAGTTCCCAGCCCCTGATGCCAATTGCTGCTGGGTTCTCGGGCCTCACCGGAGTCGAGGTGGTGTCTTGCCTGGATGCACTGGATGGGACCAGTTCTGCATATGGCACTGGTAGAGCTCCTCAGGCTAAGGCAGGAATGCTTTCGTGCCTGGTTGATGAAACATGTGCTGTTGCCTCCCTCCCAGGACGGCCCCTCAGGTGAAGGCGTCTTGCCGGTGATGCTGAGCCCGCAGTCTTCCACCTTCCACCCCCTGCTTGCCATTGGTCTGCCCGTCTATGTCCTCCAGGTCTGATGTCCTACACGTCTTTGGGTTTGTTAGTAAGACTGTCACACAGCTTCCGCTTCAGGGGCTGGCACTGAGGTAGGCCTCGGGTGGAGATCCATTGGGTTGTTGCCTGGATGTTTGCAGCTTTCTAGAAAAGGTGGGTAAATGGGCAGAAAATAAAAGGATAAGACTAAAGCTCAAATTTGCTGTCATTGTAGCTCCTACTTGTAAATAAGGTGAGCATACTCTTTAAAATATTTTATATAAGAGAAATTCTAGTCACTTTCTTCTATGGGAAGTTAGTTTTAATGGGTGGAAAAATAGACTCACACAAATTAGTTTCCTTAAGTAAATGGTTAACCTGGGCATAGGTAGCTTGTGTGGTAATTCAGATTTGGATATAAAATAATGAAAGTATCTAGCTTATTAAATTTCTAACAGACCTAAATACAATATATATTTAAAAATCCATAGAAATAGAAATTGGGCTATTAACCAGTTAACTGCCATGCATCCAAAATGGAAACCTTCCCAACCACCACGATATTTTGAATTTAATTAAAAATATAATTTTGCAATGAATATTTTAAAAATAAATATATTACAATTCTGGTGTTCTTGAATATTTTCAGTTGAAAATTTTTATGAAAAATGACTTTTTAAATTGTTTATAGGTGCTTATGGTGTATAAAGGGTTAAACATTTTCCTTAATGTCAAAAATAAATTTTAACTAAAGCACTGATATGAGGTGGGAGTGGAGGTGGGAGCTCCCAGACTGCTGCAGTGGTGACATCCAGAAAGCCCCTTTAGTGCCTACTACATGCTGCCTGGTGTTCCCACTCACAAGATCACTCCTAGAGACATCAGGTAGGATACAAATAGCCAAAAGCTGGTCATTGAAGCCTTGAATCTAATGAGGTAGAACCATTTCTCTAAAATAGGGGTGTCGAACTCAATCAGAGAAGGGGTCAAAATCTAAAATCCAGCCTAAATCTTGGGCCGAATGGTTTACTGAACAGTCATAAACTGTCATTATGATGGAAACACAGCGGAGTGCAGTGATGACAGCGCGATGCGGGCCACATTGCAAGGCCTGGCGGGACGGATTCGGCCCGCGGGCCTTGTGTTTGACACATGTGCTCTAAAAGGAAGAGGTGGAATGGTTTTTAATTAAGATAAGTCAGAAGCACCTGGCTGGCCAGCCCTGCAGGTTATGCTGCTAGTTGGTGAGTGGCTGTGATGCTGCCTCCTGCAAGTGGTCCTGCACTGCCTCAGCCCCCGTTCTGACCTCCTCATTGCTCTGCTTGGTTTTGCAGGAGGTGCATCCTGCAGCCGGAGGGGCTGCTGGGCCTGAGGACACACAATGCACAGGCAGCACTGTCAACCTACAGGACCTGCAGTGAAAGCTGCCCTCTACTGGGGGACCCAAGGGCGGTGCCTCCCATCGGGTCCCCGTGAGACTCTGTTACATGGTCTTGCAGGCCTGGGTGAGAGCCTACTCAGTTTCTGCTCAGAAGGCCACCCAAGTTCTTCTGAGACTTTTGGGTGCACTCATTGAACATGTTTTTTCTGACATTCTATCAGGAACCAGTTAGGGGCTGTACTATTTAAAACTGCCTTGTTAAGCAAAGTGCTTCAGAGAGGCGAGGATTGCCTTCCGAGCAAAGCACACCCCTCTTCTGTACTTGTGCCTGTGTGTGCACATCCCTTGTCCCATTCATCTGAGCCATGGAGCACCAGTTGCAGTTATAAAAACAGATTTGTGCAGGAAATAGAGAACAGGTCCCCTAGTCAAATACAACTTGATCTGTAGTAAAACCAGAGGGGTCTTTCAGCTTCGGGGTTTTAGCATTTGCCTCGAGAGAGATCTAAATACCCTACTTTCCCTTTCTGAGAGCTATGTGACAGGCTGTTTCCCAGCCCTTTGAATGGTGCTTGTAGGGGGGTCGACTTCTGTCACTGTGGGGCAGAAGTGGGCTTCTCATCACAGGAAGCCGAATTCTCACCCATGTTCTGGCAGACCAGGCAGGCTGCTGGTGTGAGAGGCAATTATTGAGGGTGAAGTGGACACATCGGGGTCCCTGTTTGTGAGCCCTCTGTGTAGACCGAATTTTGAGCTCACAGTTTGGAGATGGTAGAATTAAAACATTCAAATAATTTTTCTAAATTCTGTATTTGGGTACTAATGTTTAATAGTAATTTGACGATGGTTTATAAAGTCATGTTCAGAATACTATAAATTATGTGCAGGACTATAATGATGGCATGTATATGTTCTTGTTGAGGTTGAAGATGTGCATATCATGTCACCACATATTTTAATGTTAATTCTGTCTTGCAAAAGGAGACGAGTTGATAACCTTGCACATATTTGTTAATTGGTTAGTGGACTGGACACGATCACTCAGAAATGCTGTGTTTGCCTTATGCCTTTTGAAGTGTGTGTTTATTAAGATGCTACTTTGGTTCTCAGACTTGGAATCATCCAAACTCTGCCCAATCTGTGTTTCTTTGTTCCCTAAGTTTTTGGACTTGGGCTCTTGGGAGTGACCCAGCATTCGATTGTGATTCCTCTCTGACCTATTCTGAGGTGCCATCCACTCCTGCTCAGTGCTTCTCCATCCGAAGGAATTTATGCCCCATTTATAAATGGTTCGTTCAGAACTCTATGCTGCTTCACAAACAATTTCTGTGCTCATGTGGTCCCTCAGCCCAGGTCCTCCAGAAATCCCCGCCCTCTCCAAGGAGCCAGGCCTGTCGGCCAGGGTGGCCGTACCTCACTGACCTCCCGAAGGAGGACGTGTTGCTGGACCTCTCTCCCGCACGTCCCCCAGTGAATGTCCACTACAAGGTGATTGGTACTGTTAGTCGGTTTTCTGGGCACTGAGGTCCCCTGTTGGCAGTGGACCCAACCCTAGTGCAAATGAATAAAAGTTTTTGTATAGTTATGCACTGAAGGCTTCGGTTGACTTATTTTAAGGAATTATGTAAGAGTGTTGACATCGCTTTTTCCTCCAGTCAGGAGTAATGACCCATCTGCCCAGCTTGCTGCTTGCTTTTCTTGTCATTGTGTTGGGGCTGGCCCCGCACTGCACCCCAGCGTGGACTTGGCTTGTCTCTTAAAGCAGTTGTTTTAGATGGGAGCCAAGATGGCCTTCTTCCCTCAAGCATTTGCTTGGGGTTAGTGATTAAGAGGAGTGCTGGCATTTCGAGATAGGGTCTACCTCCTTAAACAGCCCTTAGACACCAAAGAGTCATGGGTTTATTTCACATGAGCGAAGAAACATACAGCAGGAGACCACGAGGCGCACGGCGAGGGCTGCATTGGCCCTGACACAGCCCTGTCTGCTTCCCGCTGCCGTCCTCCCTGTGCGGTCAACCTTGGCAGCACCAGGAAGGCTAGGTGAAGAAGAACAGCTGCTCCTCCTTCTCCTTGTCCAGCAGCTCCTGCTCAGGCTCATCCTTGGTTTTCAGGGCCGGGGGCTCGGAGCGGGACACCAACTTTCTGCCTCTCTGTGGAGGAAGCGGACTCAGTAACCCCCTGCCTGTGGCCTCCGTGCACCAGAGGTGCTGCCTAGACATTTGTCCGGAGGCTGGGGACCAGTCTGTGGTCACTCTGGTCAGCCACAGGCGGAGGGCCGGAGTTGCTGAGCCAACTCAGAAGGGTGTCTGTCCAGCCTAAAGCCTGTGCTCTGGGGCAGCCCCTGGATGTGTGGGGGCCGAGTGCAGGACATACCTGAAAACAGATGGGAAATACTGCTACACCCAGGAAACCCATCTCTAGGGATTTCAGGAGACCCTGCAGTGACCATCATTCCCCATGGCGCAGAGTAGAGAGAGTGCTGGTCTACTGCAGGGAAAGCCCAGCGGCCCTGTCTGTCTGTCTGTCTGTCAGAGGTTATGTTCAGCCTCGGGCCTCCATTAGAGATCCTGCCCGGTCCTTGTGGGGTGATGTGGGGCCCAGCAATCAGTCAAGGGGACTCTCGATAGGTGGTGAGCTTGTTCTGAGGCAGGTTGTGTAGTGGGACTCCGGGGCTCTCCACAGGGCTAGGAGGGGTGACCAGGTGACTACTGATCAGGAATGTGTGCAGGGGAGCGGGCAGTCTTAGGGGAGGGCTTCTGGAGGAAGGCGAGGGTAGCCCTAAGGGGCAGTAGGCCTAGGAAGGGGAGACATGCTCTGTCCTCGCCTTGTTCTTAGGGCCAGGACCCCTATAGTAATATCTGCAAAGGATTCGGTGAACCAGACTCAGCTGCAGACCCTTTGCTTTTCCATGCCACACTGTGCTTGGACGTGGGACCTTTCCCCAGCAGCAGCTCACAAGACCCACCCTGCCCACCTTCTTCTTGATCTCGGCCTGGGCGCGGGCTTGGGCCCGTTGGAGACGCTCCTCTTGCAGCTGCTTCTGTATCCTGGCTTTCTCTTCCCGGAGCCTACGTGGCAGGGGCAACAAGAGATGCACTACGGACTGGAGAGGCCAGGGGAGGCTGTCAAATCCCCTCCCCAGCACCTTCCTACATAGCTCTCAGGCCGTGGCCCGCCCTCTTCTGAGGAAGCTCTCACTCCTCCCCGCCCTTTCCTTCCAAGGCAGGGCCTTGGTTCTGCCCTGCTCCTTGCGGGTCATCCAGCTCTGACTCCCCCATAGCCCCAGGAAGCCCAGGTGCTTAGGTCCTCATCCCCAGTCACTGGCCCATGTGCCTATGCTTCCCTACCGTCACCCTTGAAAGCCCAGACCTCAGGAGATTAGTAGTGTTGTCTTCTTTCTGTTTGTACTTGGAGTTCAAACCATTGCCCCGAGTCTACCCTGAGCAAGGTACCAAGGACACAGAGAAAGAGCTTATGGGAGCGGCAGATGGCCTTTTGCTGATGGCTGCCTTGGGGCTTTGCTCAGGAGTGAGTAAACCAGGCAGCCTGCAGGCCAGAGGAGTCATGTTCCCTGGAACTCACTCCACCCAGTGTCTGGGGAGTTCTGGTCCTCCCTCTCGGAGGATGGACCCACCCACACGCCCTGTGCCGAAGTCTGTGCCCCTCCCTGTCTGGGCTCTTTTCCTCCCATCCAGCCAGGAAAATGGCCCGTTTTTTGAGGCAAGGCTGTGCTAGCCACACCTCACTTTGGCTCCCTGACTCCACAACATCCTCCTCTCCACAAGCAGGGCTTCCCTTACTGAGGCCGAGTGTGGGTTCCCTCCGGTCCCCCCTGAGCCCTGGCCGCTGGCTTTCCCAGCTTGGAGAACCAGGGTCCTTTCCCCTTGTTTGGGAATTCTTGGAGGGCAAGACAGCAGGGGTGTGGAGGGCGGCCTGGGCCCTCACCTCTGGCGCCGCTCCTTTTCCTTGGCCTTCTCGGCCTGCTCGATCCTGATCGGGGGCACACGCTCCAGGTTCTCGAGCAGTTCATCCAGCTGGTGTTCGATGATGGTCAGCATCTGCACGGTGCCCAGGTTGGACTCCTGCTGGGGACCCACACATTGCCGGTACACATCCAGCACCTTGCGGTTGAGGCTCTCCAGCAGCTTGTCCTGTGAGGCGGGTAGTCCACTAGTGGGGTTGCTCGGACTTATGTCCACTCCCTCTCCATGGTCTGCCCTCACTGCAGCATGGCGGATCTCCCAAGGCCCTGCTCTACTCTGCCCAGGTGACACTTAGGAGCATGGGGAAAAACAACTGGACACCTGGACTTTCCTTGGTCAGAGCTGTGACACCCTCTTCCCCATTTGCTCTTTTGTGGTCAGCCAGATCTTGGCTTCCACTCGCCACTAGGGCTCATGCCTGTGCCTTGGCTCCTCTCCAGCTGCCTCAGTGTGTCCGCCAAGACCCATCCCCTTCCTCCTGGGAGCCCTCCCTCTGCTGCCCCTGCGCTGAACTCGGCGCCCACGGGACCATATCCTGTGACCTACTCTCTCTGTGGCCCTGGCCTGCTGAACTCCCCTCTCTGGGTGTGTCTGACATTCAGAAAACAGTTAACCCCACAGATCCATGAGGGGGCCTGTGGACTAAATGAGGAACAGCAGGCAAAAAGGCAAAAAGGCTTAAGCCAGGCACAGGGCACAGCTGGTGTCCAGTGATGACCAGCAAAAGGCGGAGACACACTGGCCTGCTCATTATGACATCCCATATACTTATCCCAGTGCCTGGCACACCATGGGTGCTCAATAGGAATATGGATGAATTAGGAAGCTGAGGCCTTCTGTGCCCTAAGAATCCTCTCACACTCTGGCCTGGGGATGTGCCTCTCTGGGTATATTATACATGCTTAAAAAGTCAGTCATATTTGTCCAATGAAAGAAAAAATGGGGGAGGTGTGTTGGGCAGATGAATAGCCATGGAGCAGAAACACACAGGGTGCCTTGGATTTGGGGACCAAGGGCCTTCTTCAGCAGGTGCCCCTTGGTCAGGTCCACAGAGCTGGAGGTGGTGGTGGGCCTGGCAGCCCCAGAGCATGGCTGAATCTCAGGCCTTAACTTTTCCCACTGTCAGAGCTCCAGGCACTGGACCTCCTCCCAGCAGGTTCCTGGAAGAGGGCCTCTCCTCCCCCGCTGCCAGCCTGTGGCCACCTGCATGCCTTCCATACCCACCACCTGCTGGCTGTTGTCCGGGGGACCTACCTCCTGTGCGCCCTTGTACTCGCCGAAATGGAAGACTCGGGCTTTGAGCTCCAGCTCAGCAGCTGTCTCCTCCTCTTTGCTGATGGATATCATCAGTGTGGTGATCCACTGCTTCAGCTGGTTGACCTCCCTATCCCTGGATGGGGGACCAGCAGGGCCTGCTCACCAGTGTGGCCTGGGCACTTCACCTCACTGAACCTGACCCCTCCTGCTGTTGTCCTGAGGGCTAAGGGACCGTGACTGCAAAGTATCTACATGCCTATGGTCAAAGGAACTGTGAGGTGCAGGGTAAAGTTTTTTAACAACTAACTAATAATAATAACAGAGGTTTTAGTATATTTACAAAGTTGCACAATCATTTCCATAATATAATTTTAGAATATTTTCATCACTCGGCTGTGTCTCAGAGGTGGTGGCCAGAGACGTTACATGTAGCCCATACATACACCCTACCTGTCAGGTCACCTGGGATGACAATGGGGAGCACCTCCTGGTATCAGACCCCTACTTCCCTCCAACTGAGAGTGCCCACTGCAGGAGCAGGTGCTTATAGGGTCTTAAAGAATACAAGATTGCATTTGGCTTTAACCTAGTTTTTAATATTTCCTTCACTTTCAATGCTTAACTAGTCAGTGTGATATTCTGCATGTCCTACAGCTGGCACAATGCTTCCCCTAGTTCAGTGTTTCCCAAACTTCTCTCATGATGAGAATCACCTGGTGGAGTTGTTAAACTACAGATTCCTGAATCCCAACTAAGAAGTGCTAACTAGAATTTTTGGGAACATATAGATAGGTAAAATTGTATACTTAACTAGTGCTCTAAGCTTAGATAAAAAGTATACAATTTTACCTATATGTTCCCAAAAATTCTAGTTAGCACTTCTTAGTTGGGATTCAGGAATCTGTAGTTTAACAACTCCACCAGGTGATTCTCATCATGAGAGAAGTTTGGGATACACTGCCCTAGGGGGAAGTTATCTCAATCACCTGAAGAAATAGAAACACAACAAAACACCACCACCACATCCACATAACAAAGGAGGACAGAGGTGAAGCAGCACTGTGCTATAAAATTGTTGGATCTCAATCTTTGTTTCTCAGTTAGATCCCATCTCTGATTTACAGAAAATGCAGAGGCACATGGGACATACTGTTCATTGTTGATCCTCAGACTGGCAAGCAAGTTTGTAAAAAATACAGAGTCCACACCTTGATGAGGACCTGCCCAATCAGAGACTTTTACAAGATTCCTGGGAGAGTTCAGTGCGCACACAGAGTCTGAGAACACTTTGCTGCCAGAAAAGTTACCTGGTTTCTTTTAAGTATTGGACTCTAGAGGACAGTAAGATGGAGAGGGAACCCATCAAAGGGATTTATTTATTTATTTAAACTAAATCTAAGATATATATATATATATATATATATATATATATATATATATATATATATATATATAAAATTGCTTTTTAGAGAGAGAGAGGAAGGGAGAAGGAGAGGAAAACATTGATGTGAGAGTGAGTCACCAATTGGCTGCTTCCTGCATGGCCCCCACTAGGGATCAAGCCCACAACCCAGGCATATGCTTTGACCAGAAATTGAACTGGCAACCTTTTGGTACATGGGATGATTCCCAACCAACTAAGCCACTCCAGTCATAGCAATGAAAAGAGATTTAAAGACAACCAATTGAGGAATGTGATCTTAAATTGAATATAATTCAAACTAACATTTTAAAAATACAATCACATATGGATTATGGATATTAAATATTAAAAATAGCTGTGTTTTTTTTAAAGATATAATGATGGTATTGAGGTAATGATAAAGAGACCTATCTTTTTAGAAATATCTACACTAATATTTATAGATGAAATGGTACCATGTCTGGGATTTGCTTAAAAATAGTAAGGAAGATTGGGGAAGTGGGAGGGTCTAGGTAAAAGGAGATTGGCTATGAGTTGATCAGTGTTGACAATGGTGATGGGATTGGGTTACTCATTATACTATTCTCTCTACTTTTATATCTGTTTTTAAGTTTGAAATTTTCTTAGAGCTATTGGCCTGAATTGGATAAGGCAGTGGTCAGCAAACTCATTAGTCAATAGAGCTGCAGTTTGCCGACCACTGGAATAAGATATAAGGGGTTTATTTTAAAGGTCACAAAAAAGGTGATTCATTTATAAATACCTGAGGACATATAACCAGAAAATTTATTAGACTGGTAGCAAAGAAAAAAAAATGCAAGCAAGCACCATGAAATGTAAATACCCTGTTTCCCCAAAAATAAGACAGTGTCTTATATTAATTTTTTTCTCCCAAAGTTGTGCTAGGTTTTATTTTCAGGGGATGTCTTATCTTTTCATGTGCTAGGTCTTATTTTCTGAGGATGTCCTATTTTCGGGGAAACATGGTAACAGTCATTCAAAAGACCAAACAAAAGAGAGTTACCATATTACTGCAGAAATAGCAGCAAAAAAGAACAAAATCAAAATAAACTATTTTGAAATAGAGGAAGACAGCAGCATAGGAAGTACTAGGAATCTGTCTCCCCACCTAGACAATTGCACTGGCAGAGTCAGTCTGATAAAACCATTTTAGAACTCTGGAGTAAGCCTGGAAAGCAATTGCAGTTAATTACAGTCCATTTCAACTCTGAGAAGAATAGCAGCTTCCCAGCCAAGTGGCAGGCGAGTTTCTGAAGTAGCTTGCATAGCCTGTGGGAGCTATGGTGGGCAAAAAGGACCCTGTCCACCAAATATTGGGCATCTGTGCTCTGATCACCGATTGGTGCTCCGAATCACAGAGGCGCACACAGGCAGCCAGTATTGTTGTACCTCCTCCATTGTTTTAAGTTCCTCCCCCTTGGCTGAAGTGACTTCCAAGGGATTTAAAGAGCTGGTGCTCTTCCCTTCCCCTCTTCATGTTTTGTTTATTGCTTTTCCCCCTTTTGAAAGGCAGACGCTAAAGATCAAGGACATTCAAAAACAAATATATATTGGGGAAACTATAAAGTGACTGCATGTTTAGGGAAAGGCTCAGAAAAAAACTAAAAAGACCACAAGTTTTACACCTCAGGCTCAACATAGAGACTGCCTACAACCTTCAAATAAAAACAGTAAGAACAAGAAACAAAACCATGGAGTAGGAAGAGATCTGATTTCTAGAGTTACCACATTATTACATTCCAGTGTTAAGTGTTCAACAACAAAAACCACACAAAGCACACACACACACAAACACAGAGTATGATGCACTTGGATTAAAAACCAAAACAAAACACACAAAAAAAACCCTGAAGTTGTTTCTAAGAAAACATGATGGTAGATATACTACAAAGACTTTAAAACAACTATCTTAAAAGATGTTCAAGGAACTAAAGGAAGATGTGGAGAAGTCAAGAAAACAATGTGTGAACAAAGTGGAAATATTAATAAAGAAATACCCTAAAAACTTGTGGAGCTGAAAGTACAATAACTGAAATGAAAAATTCACTAGCGATTCCAAGGCAGATTTGCTCAGGGAGAAGAAAGAATCAGCAACCTTTCAGATAGGACAATGAGGATTATCAAGGTGGAGGAAAAGAGAGACAAAAAGAGAAGAAAACAGAATCTAAGGAATCTGTGGAACATCAGAGGACCAATTTCAACACTTGAATATCCCAGAAGAAAAAGGAGAGAGGAAGGTGCAGAGAAAATATTTGAAGAAATAATGGCTGCAAACTTTCCAAATTGGATGAAAGATATGAATATAAACATTCAAGAAGCACAAGGAACTCCCACACTGAGACACATTATAATCAAACTGTCATAGGATAATCAAAAGCATCTGGAAAGCAGTAAGGGAGAAGCAAATCCTCACATATAAAAGATCTTTAATAGGTTGGGAGTGAATTCCTTGTTCCCAACAGACCTCACCTAGTTCCCCAACTGATCTTTCCCAGCCCAGCTCTCCCGGAGCCGGCATCAGCAGAATGCACCTGGAGTGAGAGGTTCTTAAGATGCCCTGCTCTGGCTGCAGAACTGCTCTATGGCGAGGATGGACCAGTCTACCTATATGATCTACTCCCAGGCCACTCCTGGGTCCCCATGACCCTCAACTTCCCTACCCAACAGGACACATCTCACCAGAGCCAGGCACCAACTTCAAATGGAGCTTTCCAGAAAACAGAAGTCAGGGAAGGGCCAGGGCTAGGACAGGCAGGGGCGGGGCCCACAGGCCAGCTGCCAGTGGCTGAGGAGGTCCCAGGATGACTACGAATGATAGAGCCCGCCTCCTCACTGGCTAGGGTGGCCCCACTCAACACTTACATGCGGATCTGGGTGTTTTTCAGAGTGAAGCTCAGCTCCTCCAAGGCCTCCTCCATCTCCTGTGTGTTCTGGATCAGTGAGAGGTTCTGCTCCTCCAGGTTTGTAAAGACTTCCAGGAGTTGCTGGGGGTCCTTGAAGTACAGCTCCAGCCCCTGCAACCAGAGCCGTGTGTGTGTGTGTGTGTGTGTGTGTGTGTGTGTGTGTGTAGCGGGGAGGCAGGGGGCCTCCAGGAGCGAGGGGACTCCATGAAGTATAGGGCTAGACCTTGCAACCAGGGCTGTGGGGAGAAAGGGGAGGAGAGGCGAGAGCCCCCCAGCAGTGCAGAGGCAAGGGGACCTGGCTCCCGCAGACCCTGCCAAGAGTGGGGCCACTGACCTCCCCATCACTGTCTGGGTCGTCTTCCTTGTCAGGAGAGCTGGGCCTGTGGAGAGATGTGGGTTTAGGGCACCAGGGCCCAGCCTGGGCCATTGTACCCCGTCTCAGTGGTGTAGATTCCTGGTATTTCCACAGCATCTCCTCTCCAACCCCATATCCCTTATGTCCCTCCCTCGTCCCCTTGTCCATCACACAAGTTACCCAGGTGGTGGCACCAGGTTCCCCTTGGTCCCCCAGCTGTCACACAGCAACGGGGGGAGAGGGGAGGTCGTTTCAAAATTCAATTAACTCTCAAAATTCAATTAATCTCTCTCTAGTTAGAATAAAACTCGGCCTCCACTCACAAGCTGTGGGGCTACCCTCCCAACCCTTACCTCCCCCTTGTCCAAGGTTACTCTGCTCCTGCCCTGCCAGCTCCCTTCCAGGCTCTCTAGGTGCCGACTCCACCTCAGGTCCTTGGCACCTGCGGCTCCCATAAGGCATGAACCGTGATTCATAAAGATGAACGTGAGCTTGCAAATTGGTAGTGCTTGGCTCCCCTTCAGCCTGAGAAGTATCAGTTTGGTATTTGGGAGGTTGAGTGTAGAGAACATCTAATGGGAGACACTCATAGGTGCCTGCAGCCCAAGAAACTGGGAAAAGAACCATGGAAGGGGTGGCCAGGCCGGGATAGAGAAGAAAGGACAGAGGACAGAGCACATAAAGGGATGAGCGGAAGAGACAGACCCCGAGAGGGAGAGTTGCCCATTCTCCTCATCTCCCCAACAATCACCCTCATCCAAGCTTCCACAAGAAAGCATAGGAGACTATTTTAGTGACTTTGGGATTGGCAAAGATTTCTTAAGTAGGACACAAAATGCACCAACCATAAAAGTAAATATTGGTAAACTGGACTCAAAAGATTTAGAGTATTTTTAAAAATATATATTTTATTGAGTTTTTACAGAGAGGAAGGGAGAGGGATAGAAAGCTAGAAACACTGATCAGCTGCCTCTTGCACACCCCCTACTGGGGATGTGCCTGCAACCAAGGTACATGCCCTTGACTGGAATTGAACCCGGGACCTTTCAGTCCGCAGGCCGACACTCTATCCACTGAGCCAAACCGGTTTTGGCAAGATTATTAAGAGAGACTGGATGAAGATACTTATACTACACTTATTACATAAAGGCCCGGCATCCAGGCTATATAAAGTGCTACTAGAAAACCAGGAAAAAAAACCCCAAAAAACAAAAAAACAAGGCTGGCGATCCAAGAAAAATGTACAAAAATTGAACACTTTTCACAAAGGAGGACATATGAATGGCCATCATTTTTCATCATGAAAATGTCACAGAAGTCATGAGCTATCACCTCACGCTTGCTTTAGCTCTGTCTTGAGTTTCTGTATTCTGAAAAAGAAGGGATTCTGCCAGCCTACTGCCTTTGGACTCACAGCTCTGCTTCCTTTGGTCTGCAGCCCGCCAGCCTGCCTGCAGGCTGTGGATTCGCCAGGCCCCCCCCACCCCCAACTGCATGCGCCAATCAAACTCCCTCTCCTTTGCCCTGCCAGCCCCCTGCTCTGGCTCCCACACGACTCTCCAGGCCCTCATCCTTCTGGTGCAAGGTGGTCCAGACTTTGTGGGACAGGTGAGACCTGGCGGTGGCCCTGGCACTGGGAAGACAAATGCCAGGCAGCCCTGTGGTGCAGAGTTTGTGGCCTGCTCCGTATTTACATCTTGTGAAGGTCACCCCAGCCAGCATCCAGAGGCCAGGGGCTCCGCAGACACCAGGTCGCTGGAACCCTGGCTACGGAGGCCCCCTGGCGATACTGTGAACGGAGAAGTGGTGAGATGTGAGGGTTCGCTCCTTGTGAAAGGAAGGCGGGGCATAAGAAAACCAATCGCCTTTGCTTACGTGGAGGTTGAATCATAAGGGCATGCCCGTACCCTTTGACCTGCACAGCAACTTCATATGGTTCAGCGTACTATCTGCTTAAAAATGGCTGAAAGGACTTGCAGGAAACAGTACAACTCACCACCAGCTGCCTGTGGCTTCCGGGCCGACAGCCTGGTGGGAGGTGCACAGGAAGTGAGGCGTTGAGATTTCTCAGTTTAGCGAGAGCTGTGATTTCTGTGAGCATTTCGGGGAGGAGGGAGGAGAGACTAGGTGACCCAGCAGCTAAGCACATGAACCAGGTGGGGTGGGTGGGGGGACAGCTCCAGCCTTGCCAGCAAAGGAGTGGAGAGACAGGTTTGGACTGGTACATGGACCGACGTGGGGTTTCTGTTTGAACCTCACCGTGTTTCTTAAGAGAATTCAAAGCGACTGTCACACTGGAATCTGGGTAATTTAGAAAGAAGTCTAGATGTCTGGCTTCTCTTGAACAGCTCTGGAGCTCAGGCCCTTGGGCCAGCACTCCCCGGCCACAGAGGACTAGCAGGGGGCATGTGCCATCCTGTTCCCTGTGCCCATCTGGCTGCCCTCATCTGTTCACATTTGACTAGTCTATTAGCACCCAAGTGGGCCACCCCAGGCTTACCAATAGCACATTCACCGAATCAGGGAGATACAAACCTTTCTTTAGAAAACCTCTTGATTTTCCAGGTTCAGTCAGATTATGTACCCTGCTCTTACTCTCCCTCCTCAGAGTCTGGGCCTATTCGGGGTGCCCCTGGCCAGGAGCCATTGGGGAGCACCACCCACCAGGCTCCAGCCACTTTTGCAGCTCCCCCAGCCCACTCACCCTTTGGAGTCCGGCCCAGCCTGATGGTCGTGACGGTGATGGCTGGGGCTGGTCAGCGCCTGCCCCATCCGGATCACCTGCAGCACTCTCCAGGGCTTCTTCCCGTCTGGAGGAAGCAGACCAGGAATTCCTATTTGCCCCAACCCAGGACGGGGCCCCTCCAGCCTGGGGCAGCCACGTACCTTTGTAGCCCATCTTGCCCTTGGTCCCTGATCCTACAGAAAGCAAGGGAGAGGTTCCTGATGGCTTCGCCTGGAACCAGGCCTGAGGCAACATTGCTTGGGGGCTCAGGGTTCCCCCGGACCCCTCAGTGGCAGAAGAAGGCAGGTGCATAGGAGAAAGCCAGCCCCATTTCCCCAAGCAGGTGCTTGTGCTGAGCCACGGGTGGCCGAGGGGAGGCTGCTGCCCCAGCTGGCGCTCTGCAGGGTGTGGAAGCAGCCAGTCCCTCGGCCTGGGCACAGGGTTAGAAGGACCCAGGGAACTCTCTTTTCAGCTACCTTTGTCACTTGGTGTCGACTGAGCGATCTCCCTGGCCCTGGCGATTTCCCTGGCTTGTCTGATAGCCAATTGCTTCTTCTCTTGTTCTTCCAACCAGTCCTTGGGTGACAGCTTGTACAGGAAGTCCTTGCAGACCTTGTAATGTTGCAGAGTGTCTTCAAATCTGGAGATTTCGCTGAGCCAGGGGAGGGGACAGGCGAGGTCAGGCTCTGCCCACTGGGAAGCCCCTCCAGGGAGGACCCCAATGTGCCCTGGTCAAGAAGGGTGGGCACAGAGCACTGTTGTGCCAGGGAGAGGACACCCACCTTGCAGGAGCTAATGTGGGTTATACCTCCCAGAGCGACAGCCCTCAGGGACTGTCTTGCCCCTCCCAGGGTGGAGCCCAGGAGCCTCAGACCCATGTGAGCCCCGTGTCCTGGTGGTGTGGCCTCCGGAAAGTCAGCGAATCTCTCCTGGCCTCAGTCACCTCATCTGTAAGATGGGCAGCAGCCTGTAGGGTTTTGAAGCCCTGAGCTGTTTCGAGCTCAGTGAAAACGATGAGCTTTGTGTTGTGGGGAAGCACCCTTTGGCCAGGGGAGAAGTGATGAAGGGAAATGTGGGCAGGCCAGCCCAGGCCAAGTTTACCTCTGACCTTATATTTAAACAAACAAACAAACAAAAACAATACACATACACACAAACACACACAAACAAAAGAGTAATATGCTAATTAGACCAAAGACCTTCCAGATGTCCTTCCGGGGACTTGGCTGGCTGGCCTGCAAACACCCCCAGGCCCTCTCTAGGCCTCCCCCTGCCTCCGAGCAGAGACCCCCACCCCAATGTGGGTGTGGCTGGTCTGCAACCCCCCCTCCACACACACCCAGGCCCCTTGCCTAGGCCAACTCCATCTCCCAAGGAGACCCAAACCCTAACCCAGGACCTCCTTCAGGGCAGACCAGCCAGCCCCCACCCATGCACCAGGACTCTATCTATACTAATAAAAGAGTAATTGCTAATTAGACCAGATGTCCTCCCAGACAAAGCCATGGTGGTGGGGCCAAGGCAGAGGCAGTTAGGGGTGATTAGGACAGTAGGGGAAAGCAGTTAGTGTGATCAGACTGGCAGAGGAGAGCACTTAGGGGGATCAGGCTGGCAGGGGAGAGCAGTTAGGGGCATCAGGCTAGAGGGCAGGGATAGTTAGGGGGATCAGGTCAGCAGGGGAGAGCAGTTAGGGGGATCAGGCCAGAAGGCAGGCGAGTGGCTAGGAGCGAGAAGGATGTCCGATTGCCATTTTAGGCCTGATCCTGCAGGAATTGATTCTCCTCTAAACTGGCAGTCGGATATTCCCCAAGGGATCCCAGATTAGAGAGGGTGCAGGCTGGTTGAGGGACAACCCCCTCCTGTGCACAAATTTCATGCACTAGGCCTCCAGTCTGTCTGTCTGTCTGTCTATCTATCATCTACCTATCTATCTATCTATCTATCTATCTATCTATCTATCTATCTTTAGTGATTTCAGAGAGGAAGGGAGAGTGAAAGAGAAATAGAAACATCAATGATGAGAGAGCATCATTGATTGGTCAAGCCCTGGCTGGGAATTGAACCATGACCTCCTGGTTCAACCACTGAGCCACGCCCACCAGGCAGCCTCTGATCTTACCTTTTTTTTTTTTTTAATTCAGTTTTTACAGAGAGGAAGAGAGGATAGAAAGCTAGAAACATTGATCAGCTTCCTCTTGCACCCCCCCTCCTGGGGATGTGCCCATAGTACAGACCCTTGACCAGAATCAAGCCTGGGACCTTTCAGTCAGCAGGCTGATGCTCCATCCACTGAGCCAAACCGGTTTCGACTGACCTTACCTTTTGATATTCATGATCTGGGTGGTCAGATCTCGAATTTCAGTGATCTTCTCTATCTTCACTTTGGTCTCCTTCTCTGCCCTGAGGGTAAGGTGGGGCAGGGAGCCAGTCTCAGACTGTTAAGAAGCCAAACTGCTCTCAGGTTGGACTGAAGGCGGGGGAGCTACTAGGAGCCTGGTTTGGGGTCCAGGGTGGAAGCGGGGGCTGAGGCTGGGTGCAGGCTAGGTCATGTGGTTTGCACAGGCCCAGGGGACCCTGGAGGTATGGCCAACCAGCCCCTCTGGCCACAGGCTCACTCTTTCAGGGCCTGCACCGAGCTGCGGTCATTCTCCCTGAGGAACTCATCGAACAGGGCCGAATCCTTCTCCAGGGACTTCTCAGCCTTCTCCAGCTCCGCCTCCTCTTTAGTTGCCAGCATCTCTAGCCGCTGGATCTCGCTCCGCTTCATATCCAGGGCATACTGGTGGCCACCAGAGCAGGGATTACACTCCCCACCGGACAGCTCACCCAGGTCCCCCTCATGGGAGCAGACGGGCCTACCTGAAGGAGGAACATTTGCCGCTTCTGTTGGATGTACTTTTGTATGCTGTCAGAATCCTCTTTCTTTTCTGCAAGGAGAGGAGGGAGGCATCTGGGGGTGGGCAGTGGGAGAGAGACTCGGGTGTGGCTGAGGATGGATGCACAGAAAGAGGGGCTGGTCAGCTGCTCCTGGTGCAATGCAGCGCCATCATGGGGGCGGGGGGGCTCTGCTGACAGGTCACACCTCCATGCCTGCAGCAGGTCCAGGTGGGAAGAGCCTCTCTTCCTGTCGTGCTCCTCACACCCAGAATGAGACTCTGGAGACCACTACCCTGGCAGTTTCACCCAACTGGACTTCATAACAGAAGGCCTGTTGCCAGGACCTCAGAGAAAATGTGGCAGGATGATCTCAACTGGGGGTGCCCTAAGCCTGCAGGGCCCAACTTGGGCAGCAGCTAAGTCTATACTGCCATGCCAAAACCAGTTTGGCTCAGTGGATGGAGCGTCAGCTTGTGGACTGAAAGGTCCTGGGTTCGATTTCAGTCAAGGGCATGTACCTTAGCTGCGGGCACATTCCCAGTAGGGTGTGTGCAGGAGGCAGCTGATTGATGTTTCTCTCTCATTGATATTTCTGACTCTCTATCCCTCTCCCTTTCTCTCTGGAAAAAAAAAATCAATAAAACATATATATTTTTAAAAAGTCTACACTGCCAGGGTTCCCCAGGTGGGAGGACATGAGGGGGGCTCCTGGATGACCTTCCAGAGGACAAGCAGAGAGGCAGCATGGTGAGCCACAGGCTGTGGGGCTTCTTTCCTTGGCCTTTCTGGAAAGGAAGACCTAGGCCCTCCCCAGCTTTGGAGAGCCCAGGGACTGTGGGAAGGACTGTGGAACCACGTCTTGTCCCTTCAATCCTCTCCTTTCCGAAAGCTGGTGTGCTGTAGAGGTCCTGCTGTAGGTCTAGATGCCTGGCAGCGAGCCCACTCGGTCCCTGCCTCCTGGTCCACCCTGGGGAGGTCCCTGCCCTCAAGGAGACCCAGCTCCTCACTGGAAGCCAAAGTCTTTTGTGCAAATACCCTGGTCCAGGCTTCCCCATCCAGGTGCCACCTGCCTCTCCTAGGTCTTAGGAATAGAGGGCGAAGGCAGAAAGAAAGCACATGCCGTGCTGCTCCCCCCGCGCAGAGCTTGGCACACAATTGCTGAAGCACCTTTGTACCCCAAAGAGCAAGCCACGGAGTCAGGGTGGAGACTGGGGTCTCCTGATGTGCACAGTGTATTCATATCCATTCACATCCAGGACACCCGTGGGTCCCGGGGTTCCAGAACGGTCTGATCCCAACTATTACTTTCTAGCTTAGTGATATTACACTTTATCACCTGGGTTGGGGGGATATTAATGCGTTCTCAGTACTGAAGATTTCCTACTGAGTTACAAAAACAACAGCCGCACATGCACGCGCGTGCGCACACACACACTCACACACACACACACACACACACACACACACACACACACACAGTTCTTTCTCACTATGTGCAGTGCCCAACCATGAGGTTGCTACCCGACATCAGCCAGGAGAGGAGGCTGCAGTAGGAAGGAGTTAGCGAACTCGGCCAGGGTGGTGCCAGCATTGAGATCCGATCCCAGGCAACCTAGTTCCGCACTGACTCCCTGCTAAAGGCCCACGTTTATACAGCCTGCGCTCATCGTGCCTCGTCAGCACTCAGAGGGCACGCGGCGCTGGGGCCCAGAGGCTTTTGGATTTGCACTCCATCCGGGACAGATCTTTGTGGGGGACAGATTTTTGTGGCTCCGAAGGCAGGGGTCGGACAGGAGAGGCCTCCGCCCCCACTGCACCGCAGCCCCTCCTCTGCAGCACTGCCCTCCCAGGGAGGCACAGACCTGCTGGCGGGGAGGGAGCAGCAGTACCTTTGGTCATGGCCAGCTTCCAGGCGGTGTGGTCCTCCTGGAAGGCGCTCGTCTGCTGGGCCTCGGCCAGGGCACGCGCCTCCTGGTCGTCCGCCCGGTCCTGCAGCTGCAGCTCTCGCAGCAGGCTGGTGTGCTTGGCCAGCCCTTTGGAGGAGGTGGTCATCTTCTGGTGCAACCGTAGCACCTTCTTCTTCTGCCGCTCCTGGGGGCGGGCGGGTCAGGGGGGGTCTCCCAGGCCCAGCCTCCACACAACCTCCTTCCCCACTCCCCGGGCCCAGTTGCTGCCTCCTGTGTTGCCCCGTGCCACAGTCGTATGGACTTGAGGTGGGGCGCACTTAGGCAGGCAGGGAGGGGGTGCCCAGGTGCCAGGCGCAGGAAAGACTTGGATCTGTGTGTGTGTGTTGGGGGGGGGGGGGGAGCCCACGCCTGCCCCGTTTCAGAGGGAGCGGGCAGGGCTGGCCTCTGGAGAGCCAGGGGCAGGAGGGCGGCCAGGTGTGCCCAGGCTGCCTGCCAGGTGGTGTGCGCTCTAGATCAGTAGAGAAGAGGCACGCTCGCTAAAAGATGACTCGTGGTTCATCTGAAATTCACACTTAAACTTGTATTGTGATTTGCCACGTCCAACACCCCAAGGTTCAGGGAAATTAGATCTGAGTTTCCAAAAGAAACTCGAAAACCCAGGTTTGGTCTGCAAACGTGTCAGCCAGTGTCGGGGCCACGCTGTCACGGGGTTCTGCGTCTCCCCACCTCTTCTCCACCTGCGCTGCCCTGTGGCCCCAGCCTTTCACTCCGGGGGGACCCAGGATGGGAGGGGGGTTGGGGTCCCTTCTTCGCAGAGGCCTCGTTTAGATCTCTGGCTTCGGGGGTGCCCTGGCTCTTCTGTTCGGACCCCGGGGATGTCCACACCCCTCATGGGCTGGGCTGGGACCGGAGAGGCTCCTGTCAACTCTTCATGTGGCCTTTCCTGGGTAGGTTCTATTGTATTTCCTGCTGGGCCTGGGAGGTACAAAACCCAGTTCAGTCTCTAAAGAACGCTGCATAGGGAAAAGCTAGCTGTGGCAGGACCTGGTGTGAGCCCTGAATAACAACAAAATCGGGAAAAGGTCACCCTCTAGAATCCCAGCGGCAGAAGACCTGTGTGTAGAAGATATTGGGTAGCTGCTTTTGATCATGCTGAGGTTGGGGGGCTCTGTGGGGCGTGGGGAGGAGTGTGAGGTTGGGGGGCTCTGTGGGGCAGGTGGGGGAGGAGTGTGAGGTTGGGGGGCTCTGTGGGGCAGGTGGGGGAGGAGTGTGAGGTTGGGGGGCTCTGTGGGGCAGGTGGGGGAGTGGTGTGAGGTTGGGGGGCTCTGTGGGGCAGGTGGGGGAGGGGTGTGAGGTTGGGGGGCTCTGTGGGGCAGGTGGGGGAGGGGTGTGAGGTTGGGGGGCTCTGTGGGGCAGGTGGGGGAGGGGTGTGAGGTTGGGGGGCTCTGTGGGGCAGGTGGGGGAGGGTGTGAGGTTGGGGGGCTCTGTGGGGCAGGTGGGGGAGGAGTGTGAGGTTGGGGAGCTCTCCTGGGGTGTGGGGAGGGGTGTGAGGTTGCAGGGGCTCTTGGAGGAAGGCGGAGGTAGCGCCGAAGCAGGGCCACGCTGGCAGAAGAAAAGGGAATTCTGCACTGGTGAGCTAAGTCAAGGTCAGAGAAGGTCTCGGCATGTGTTTGCAGTATTTCCCTACTCTGGAGGCCTCGGGGAAGGGTGAGCTGCTCAGTGTGGCTTTTCATGAGCTTCCTTCTAGGGCATGAGTGGGTGCACAGCATGGCACGAGTCGGGGGGACACTGACGGACGGTGGCCTTCCCAGAGTCTCTAAGCCAGAGGTCTGGGGTGTCGGTACTGGTTGGAGTTGCAGTGGGAGCCACAGCCCTACGCAATCTCAGACTCTGAGCCCTGAAGTGGGGTGGACAGGGCCAGCCCAGGAGGGAGCCCGAGACACTGGCCATGAGCGTATGACCGGAAACATGGCCTGTGCTGGCCACTTCCCAGGGAAGATGCACACCTGGTGCTCTCCCCGAGCCTCACTGCGGCGAGGCTTGCTCGCGTTGGCCGGCCGTGCTGTGGCAGGGTGCATGTGAGTGGGGTTGGGGACAGCTGTCTGGGCATATGAGCTTTTGGGATTGGGGGGCAATAGAGACTATGCTGGGGTGGAGACAAGGCACAGCCTGGGAGTCAGGACTGGCCCCGGGACTCCCAGGCACTGCTGAGGGGCATGCAATGTGCATGTGCACATGTGTGCGTGCCTGTGTGCATATCTGGCCTCTAAGAATTCCAACCAGGTGACTGTGCAAGGCCAGAGCAGCTGTCGGGAGGGAGAAGGGGAGATTTCCCCGGGGGAGGTGAGAGGGTCCCTGACTTCTGAGATGGGCCTTGAAGGACAGGAAAAGCCTCAGAAGGGGGTGGCTTCTTCCATGAGATGCCACAGCAGCTCCAGGAGCCCAGCCTGACAAAGGCCCGGGCACAATGGTGATGAAACTGGGTGACAGCGGGACAGGTCAGAGCCCTGAGAGCCAGGGGGAGTTTCCCGCTGATTTTGTAGGAAGTGGTGGGCCCGTCTGAGAGCGACCTGGTTACAGTGCTCTTCGGAAATCCGGCGGCTGCTGCTGTGTGAGGAGAGAAAGCGACAGGGCAGCTGCATACTCACTGAGTGAAACTTATTCCGCTCCTGATCTCTGAGCAGGAAGAAATCCACGTTCCCAGACATATGGAAAGGATTAGATGAACGGTCCGGAATAATCACAGACACTGGGGAGGGAAATACCTCATTGGAGAGACGAGCTAGCTCTTCCGAGCTGAGGTCTGTGCCTCTGGGGTCCCAGCACCCTCCCAGCCCAGCCTAGGGAGCTTCCGTGAAAGCATGAGCAAGTGGCCCGTGTTCTCTTGGGCCCGGCTGTGCCTGAATCCACCCCTGGGCCTTCCAGCTCCCTTAACTCAACCTAGTTGGTGTTGGGCTTCTGTTCCTGGCCCCTGAGAGAGACCCGGTGAACACAGCTCCTCCTGCCTCAGGCATCTGCTATGTCCCTGGCCCTCTGTCCTCTCTCATTTAACGTCTCAGGAACTCCTACTCTGCAGAGGGGGGAAGCGAGAGCCTGCTGCCTCCAGTGCTGAGGCGCCTGTCAGTGGGAATTGAGCACTCTAGGTGAATATGCGCTGTCCTTGCAGGAGTCTCCACCAGTCACCCCACCCCCTCATCACCAAAGGAAGACTGGGCTTGGGGGTGGGTAAGGGCAAAATGGCTGAGGTGGGGACTTCCAAGGACCCAATTCTGCTACCCCCACCCTCAAGGCTTAGGGAGAGGTTCCTACAGATCAGCTCAGAGCGTGTCAGGGAGGACAGAAGCCAAAAGGACCTAAACAAAGGACTTAAAAATATGGTTGCTGCAGAAACAGGTTTGGCTCAGTGGATAGAGCATCGGCCTGCAGACTGAAGGGTCCCGGGTTCGATTCCGGTCAGGGGCATGTACCTTGGTTGCGGGCACATCCCCAATGGGGGGGGGTGTAAGAGGCAGCTGGTCGATGATTCTCTCATCGATGTTTCTAACTCTCTATCCCTCTCTCTTCCTCTCTGTAAAAAATCAATAAAATATATTAAAAAGAAAAAAAAATATGGCTGCTTTCCCTTCTGCCCTTGATAGAAAAGAAGCAGGGCTCATTGGAAACAAAACAAAACATTCCTGAAAGTGAAAAGAAAATGAGATAAAAATAAAAACCAACTCCGCTTTGAATTCGCTGCTGGTAACATTTTTGAGGGTGTTTTCTTCTAGTACTTTTCAGCATGCAATTTTAGTAATTCCACATATTCCTTTCAAAAGGACACTTTACAATCGGCAGTTCCCTGTGAAGTTACTCATTCTGTGTGGACCTTGTACGCAAACATTGAGGACTGCAGTGACACGCCAGGGTGCCATCAGGGTGCACTCGCCATGGGATGTGTAGCAATTCCTAGCACCCCAACATCCTGAGGACATCACGTCCACCTCTGGCCGGTTCTTGGGAACTCATTTTCCAAAGGGAGACTAGAGCCAAAGGCTGTAAGCAGTTTTCAGGCTTCGGAAATGTGCTGACCTGCCCTCTGGATGGAGGTCTATCTCATTTTGCAGCCCCATCAGCAAAAGCAGGGCATTGTTAAAGCGGTTCAAAGTCATGATCGTCTCAAAATACCTCTGCACAAGACACTTATTCCCAAGAGGAAAGGTGCCGCACAGAGGGGAAGCCTGGCAGGCTCCACGTCACGCAAGCGCCCGAAGTGAGCGTTGGCAGGAGAGAGCGAGGCTGGCACTCTCTCCGAAGGGAGCCCAGCACTTCGCTCAGACATTCCTGCCTGGGACGCCTCATCTGCAGTCCTTCCTGAGGAGGGGTCGGAAAAGCCCAAAGTCACGGGCCTTTGTACTATTCTTTCAACTTTCCTGCAAGACTGAAGTCCTGTCAAAACACAGAGTTGAAAAAAGTGAGCTACGCTCAGAATGGGAAGGTCAAAGGTTATCTGCTCCTTGGCCCACGGCCGGGAGGGAGACAGAAGGGCCTCCAGTCAGTTTGCAGCCTGGCTCCTGAGGAGGGAGCAGGGCCTGCACCCCAACCTCTGCTTCTCATGTCACACCTTCTCCTCCTGCCCCTCCTGCTTTCCTCTTAGAAGGACCCTTGTGATGACACTGAGCAGATGGGGTATCTGGATAGTCCCAGGTCATCTCCCCATCTCCAGACCCTTCACTTAATCACATCAGCCAAGTCCCTTTGCCATATAAGCGAACCTAGTCTCAGGCGTGGGAATTCAGATGCAGACATCTCTGGGGGTCCCTCGTCAGTCCACCCCAGTCCCCGCTATCAGACCTCTCTATCCCTAGGTTGCTAAGACTTTTGTTCCAAATGGGTTTTAATTTTATCAAATACTTATACTGCAGCTACTGAAATGATCATATAATTCTCTCTCTCATTCTCTTATGGGGTGTGACTGGTTTATAAACGTTAAACTAATTGCATTTCTGGGATGATGTACTTCAAATGATTGCCATTCTTGGTGGCGGGCTCATCTTCACATTAACGCACCGATAGTCTCCACAGAAATACTAAACATCCCGTACTCATTTGACTGCAGATGCATCTTACTATTATTTGTAATAGCTAAAACCCACAGAAACAACCCAAATGTTCATCAGTTCTAGAGAGAACAACACATGGTTGGCACATGCGCGCAGCAGAATACGCATAGTGACAGAGAAGGGGCGCCTGCTGTGTGTGTCTCACAGACGTGATGTCCAGTAAAGAAAGCCAGATCAAAAGAGTGCTGAGGGGTTCCAGATACATGAGGCCCGAGAGCGAATAAAATGATTCCCTGATAGCAGAGTCCCTGAAGGAGAGCCCCCTTTGGGGGAAAGAGAACTGAGCAGATGAAAATGTTCTAGATGGTGAATGGGTGGAGGGTAAGAAGTTGTATACATCTGTCAGATTTTACAAACTGGCCCTAGCCGCTGTGGCCCAGTTGATTGGAACGTCTTCCTGTACACCAAAAGGTGGAGGGTTCGATTCCCAGTCAGAGCATATACCCAGGTTGTGGGTTCCATCCCCAGCCCATGCTGGAGACAGCCAATCGATGTTTCTCTCTCACATTGATGTCTATCTCTCTCTCCCCACTTCCTCTCTAAAAAGCAATAAAACTAAAAAAAAAAATTATCAAACTGTATACTTAAGATTTGCTCCTTTCACTGTATATTAATTATATCTCAATGAAGAAACAAAACAAATCCAAAACCCAGGATGCTCACCCTTATGTGAGGGGACAAGCGCCCATAAGCAGAAGAAACTATTGGGTGCATGGCTGAGGGGGATCTGTGATGGAGGGTCAAGTGGCTAACATCTGAACCTACCATTGTAGCATGGCCCCCAGGGAGGCAGCTGGGGGTGTGGGCTTCTTATGAAAGGGGGTAGGAAGCACACAGCCCACCCAGGAAGGAGTCTGTGAACAACGAGGGACATGGATCCATCCTCTCAAACGTCTAGTGTCCAATTAAAAGAAATTTGGGGAATAGAGATGTTCCTGTCATTATAACGACAGCACCAGGAAGCAGAGCCATCGCAAGGACATTCTACAGGATAAATAACACCATTTTTTCAACAACTCAAGGCACAGAAAACATAAGGTCATAGGGGAGTGGCTGTGCTAGATTAAGAGCAACCGAAGATATACTGATTTCATTTGAATCTCGATGAAAACAAATCTTCCGGAGGGAGACATTCCTTAGATAATTGGGTAAATCTGATGATAACTTCATTGTGGGCTTGTAAGAAAATGTTCCTTTTTTTAAAAAAAAAATGCACATTGAGGTACATAGGGATGAAATGACTCATCTGGATTTTACTTTAAAATACATGGTATCCCATCCCCCCCACCCCCTCCTGAAAATGTAGATACACTTTAACAGCTGATAGCTCAATTTTGAAAATGACATGTATTTAATAAACACTGCCTTTATAATCATTCAAAGTGTGTATATGCATTTTTTGGGACACCCTATATTTTGTCAAAGACTGAAAAGGAAAGGAGCAAAGGGATAGATGAAGCAAAAGTGGCAAAATCTCGCCCACTGCCCAAACTGGTGACAGGCATGTGAGTTCACTGGGCTTTAGTCTCTGCCTGTGGGCAGGTTGGGATCTCATTTAAAAAATATATATTTTTATTGATTTCAGAGAGGAAGGGAGAGGGAGAGAGAGATAGAAACATCAATGAGGAGAATCACTGATGGGCTGCCTCCTGCACGCCACCCACTGGGGATTGAGCCCAAAACCAGGGCATGTGCCCTTGACTGAAATCGAACTTGGGACCCTTCAGTCTGCAGACAGATGCTCTTTCCATTGAGCCAAACCAGCTTGGGTGGGATTTTAATTATTAAAAGAAAGAGGAAATGGGATCTGAGGGGTGGAAGCTGGCCTGTGAAGGACAGGTGCAGGGAACATGCTCACATCTGCACACCTCTGCAGGAAGACAGGACAGGCCTGTAAGCCAGGAGTCCTGGGGGGTGGGTGGGAGCAGTACAGAAACCAGGGGGAGTCCTGGAAGCCAGAGTGACAGAGCAGGGACTCAGAGGACGAGGCGTATGCAGCTAGCTGCCTACCCTTCTTCTTCCTAATAGATGCAGCCGTGTGCCTAGCTGAAGAGCTACCCTCTCAGCCTCCCTTGCAGATCCTAATGGCTCTGGGACTCCCCCCGCCCCTCTCCCCCAAACAAAAGTGGTCAGAAATTGTTGGGTGGAGATTCTGGGAAGGATCTTCTCCCAGGGAGGGCTAATGTGGCAGGTGGGCCGTTGTGCCCTTCTCTTCCATCCTTCTCCCTGTCCAGAACGCGATGTGAAGGCTCCATCTGCAGCAGCCAGTTCGTGACCATGTGACAACCTTGCGGTGGAAAGCCCTCCAGATAAAGGCGGTGGAAGAGAAAGACTTAGGATACCGTCACCTGGGTGACTTTGTAGACCTGCTATTGGTGGAGCCTTGTGGAGCTGTGGACTGCTTCCCACACTCCCATTCCTGCAGGAGCATACCCCACTTTATGCTTCTACTACTTCAGGTCTCAGAAGCCCTTTTCCTCACGGAAACAGGAGCATGGCCTCTGCCCTCCACACGGAAGCTCAGGTCTGAAGGCACCTGCAGCTGAGGGAGAGCGCCCCCACCACCTGGGACTTCAGCTCCCGGCTCCAGAGGTACCTTTGTCTTTTTTCTTAGACTTCTTTCTTTTGTCTTCAGGGACTGAAGGAGAGCTCTCATCTGTGGAGTCCAGGCTGTTCTCTGGGGAGACACAAAAGTGAGGGCCACAGGAAATGACATGTTTTGTGATAGCTGTGACGCAGCCTGAGGCTGGGGAGAGACCAGACATGCTTTAGTGTGGAGAGCGGCTACAGCGTTCGGACAGGTTCAAGCCTGGGACTAATGAGAGGGCACAGTCCTCTCGTGGCAAAGCCACGTGCAAGTCCCAGCACAATTACAGCCAGAGGCTATGGTTGTAAGCTTGACCTGATGGTCCCAATCTGTAGCCCCACGTGGCTGAGTGATATGGGCTGCAGGAGGTGCAGCAAGTAAACAAAGCTTGATCAGGTGCATGTGACTGAGCAGATTTGAAACCCCCGAGAACATTGTAAACATCTTGACCACGCCCTTACTTTGCCTTGTGGAATGGGGCTATAAAAGAAAGACTCGGCTTGCAGGCCATGGCGCTATCGCTTCATCAGAGAGGAGCAGCCTACCTACCCCAGCTTTCTTCTTGTCTGTCTTTTCTCCATCCTTCACCGCCCCCTCTCAGGTTCAGCCATGGCCTTGCCCGCTCTGCACACTTTAGGGCTGCAGTCCCAGCATCCTCACCTGTCTGCTGAGTGGACTTGGCAAGCCACTTAGCTTCTCTGAGCCTCAGTTTCACATCTCAGATAATCATGCTGACTTTGCTGGGAGGTTGTAAGGATCGCGCAAGAAAATGGCCACAGAAGTTCCTAGCACACGCGCCTGGCACACAGAAGGTGCCTTTCCTTGCATACCCTTCCATTTGTCCCCGAAGAGCAGCACGGGGTTACCCAGGGAGGCCACGGGCCCTAAGCGTCTCCTTCCTGCCTGGCCCGTGCTCTTGCTGTGAGCTGACCAGGTTCTTCCATCAGGGCTGTACCCTCAGAGATTCCCATTTCCTTGTTCTCTCTTCCACTGACACCCACAGGGAAGGAGTTACGTGGCCCCACTCTTCCTTCAACCCCAACTCGGGAACCTTTTGTAGCTTGGAGATTCCAGGTTATGCCTGCCTGGAGGGCAGCTGGCCTGAGGGCAGAGGGGTGGGGGCTGCGGGAGAGGGTAGAGGTGTGCTTTGGTGGAAAGCTCAGGGAGCTGGTCCTCTTGGACCGGTGTGGGGGAGGGGGCGCTGGGGTGATGAAGGGAAAAGGAAGGCCTGGGAGATAAGTGGTATACCCCAAGGGCGAGGCCACGAGACAATCTCTGTTGTTTAAGTCACCAGTCTGTGGTGGCACTTTGTCCTGGCAACCTTAGGACTCTGGTACACGGGGTTTCTAAGGAACCTGGCAAACTGTGATTTCTGCCTCCTGGCTGACTTAGAATCTTCTGAACCCTGGATTAACTCCAGGCCTCCCTGTCCCAGGCTCCCTAGGCTGCCATTGGGCCCGGAGAGAGCCCATGCCAGCTGGGCACTGGGCACTTACTGGTGTTCGCCATGTCCTTGGAGACCATCGTAGACAGGATGGGACGTTCCTGAAGAGGAACAAGGGCTTGCTGCAAAACCGGACCTCAGCTAACGGAGGTTCCAACCTGGGGAATGACACAGTGTTTGAGCCAGATGGTCTCCAGGCCCTCAGCCTCCCTCTGCCCGCCTGGGTGGCTGATAACAGCTGGCATTTACTGAGGGCTCACCATGTGGCCAACACCCGCAGCTCCCTCTCTTCCCAGCCCGCACCCCATCCCCTACCCTCTCTAACTCGTTAGAACACACCAGCCATGCTCTGCCCAAGGTCTTTGCATTTGCTGCCTCCTCAGCCAAATCTGTCCTCCCACACACTTCCGAGCTGAGCTCACAGGTCACCCCTTCAGAGGAAGGCTTCTAAAGTGGGTTCTTTACCCGCATCCCCAGGGGACCTCACTTCATTTCCTTCTCTGCAGTCACCCACTGTCTGTTTATCGCTTTAAAGAAAGTCAGCTTATTGCCCTTAGAATTAAGCTCCACAAGAACAAGGGTTCTTTTCTGGTCTGTAGCTCAGGTGCTTATATCAAAGCGCCTGGCACGCCCTTAACACTGAATGTCTTTTCATTTTGCGAAGGAAGAAACAAGGTAGAGATCCGGAGAGGTGTCCTAAGTCACCCAGCCCAAAATCCCTTGGCTCCGAAGCCTGAGCCCTTCCAGCCACAGCCCTGCCCGGCTCTCACGGACAGGAGCCCGGAGAGGTCCGGGTCAGCTGGACCTGGTCTCCCCTCCCCAGCCCGGCGGCGGCCGGCGGGGACCTCGGACAGAAGGGTGTCTGGGTGAGCCATGAAGCAAGTCTGGCAACAAGGAAGGAGGGGCGGGGAGCCTTGCAGAAGGGGTCCTGCGCCTTGGCCCGGAGCTCACCCTGACCCCGCGTGCCCCCCATCCAGCCCGGGCGCACCCACCAGCCTCGCGCAGGGGCTGGATCCTAAGCTTCGGCGCCTCGGTTCCAAGGCTCTGAGCGCGCCGGCCTTTGGTTTACGTTGCCACAGCAACCATTCTCCTGGCCACCGGGGCCGTGACGTCACAAAAGCCGCGGAGGAGGCGGGCCGCGGGGTGGGGTAAGGTCGGATGAAGCGCAGACTCCCACCACTTCACTCCCAGGGGCGCCACCAGGTGGGTGCCGGGCCCAGGGTGGGGTCTGGTGACCAGGGGTGTCCTTCCTCTGTCCTTCATGATGCTCACTGTCCTCCGGCTCTCTCTCATCCCCCGGTCCTTTGACTCCAAGTGTGCCTTCGTGGTCCTTTCTGAAGGGTGGCCCTCACTTTCTCCAGGGTCCGTCCTTCAAGTGCAGTCCTGGGACCTGCAGCTTCAGAAACGCTGGGGACTCCGTCAGAGAGGCAGATGTTCTCCGGCTCTGTCCGCAGGAGCTCTGGGCGGAGCCAGCATCTGAGTCCTACAAGTCCTCCTCCCCTCCCTAGGACTTCCGAGCTAAGGCAGGGAGCCACTGCCCCAGAGGAAGGTGAGACACAGAGTGACAAGCTCCATCAGTAAGCAGAGGGGAGGAGCCCAGGGGATCAAGAGCTGGGATCCAGTTTATATCGCCCAGATCCACCAGCTGTTGAGCTACAGGCACCAGGGCAGTGGTTCCCAACCTTTTTGTGGCCATGCCCCACCTAAACATCTCTAAATCCTGATGCCCACCTCCTCCTGCGACATACAATTCTTATTATTAAAAAAGTAAGCTCCTATTCACGTGGAGGAAGCCTAAAAGGCCATGAACTTGGTCTAAACAAGCTTCTAAAGAACATGGCATCCATGAAAGAGAAAAAAAGAATGGAAGGACAGTTGAAGTACTGATGAAGAAATCTCTAAGAAATTGTTAGGAAAAATAATATGAAGTGATAGGAAAAAAATAGCAAATAAAGTTTCAAAACATATAACAGAGAACTGAAATGCATAAGTATGTTACAATATATATTTATATACTGTATATGAAGACCCCAGAACCATAAGAAATGCAAAAAAATTCACTGTTAATAACTCATTCTCTAATTGCCCCCCTTTAAAAACCAAATTGTCCCTGTGGGGCATGTGCCCCATAGGGTCACCAGATTTTCCCCTTGCATCTAAGGGGCTTATGGATAGATAAAGGCTCTTTGGAGTTGGGGACACAGGGTTCTGTCTAAGGACATTTAGGGGTCTCTGGAGTAGTCTGCAGGCTGGTAATGTGGTGCCAGTGCGAATACTAGCCTCTCCTCTCTCTGCCCAAGGCAGGTGGTGTGGGTGGGGAGACCGGTCGTGGGGTGGGGCCTGTGGCCACAGGGTGGGGTGAGGGGGGAGAGCCAGGGTGGCAGTGTGGAGGGGCTCCTGGAGGTGGGAGGAGTGGGGATGCCTGAATCAGCACCGGAGGACAGCGTCCCACTGGCAGTGACAGCAGCCACAATGGGCTTTGTACAGGGAGGAAGGAAGTTTTATTGTGTTAAGCCACATATGTGATTTGTGCATGTGCATGTGCGTGCATATGTGCGTGGGGGAGTGTTTATTACAGCAGCCAGTGTTAATATACCCTAAACAGACAAGTGTCTCCTCTAACTCCCAGGAAAGAGGCTCCTTACATTGTCAGCCAAAGTCCTCAGTGATCTAGCCCCTGACTGTGTCTAGTCTGGCCTCCCTTCTAACTGTCACAGACGAATTTTTTAGTTAGAATTCAGCAAGTATTATACTTTGTTAACTAGTGACTGGGGTAGGAAAGCAAACAGTTTTGAAATGATTTGTCTCAAGCACCAGAAGTTCTGATGAGACTCAGGAATCTGGAAAAGAGGTAACACAGAGAGAGAAAAGCAGAAAGTTTATGGACCGTTGTGCATTTCCCATGAGCCCTTCCATGGCCTTCTGTGTGCCAGGTGCTGCTCTCTGCGCTGCAGCCCATTTAACACAGACCACTCAGGGCAGCAGGTCCTGTTATCACCATCGCCTTCACACGAGGGAGGAGACTGAGTCACTGGGAGGTTGACAGATGTGCCCAGCGGAGCCAGGGGCTCCAGAGACAGGATTCGCTGGCAGGGGAGTTCATCTTTGCTCTTAAACACACACTGCCTCTCACCAGGAATTGCTCTATAATTTTATATAATTATTTAAAACAATTATGCATATACTTTGAAAAATGCCCAAGAAATCCCGAGGTGCAGTTCACAATAAGACATGTTCTCTGGTCAGTGTGTTTCTGTCTTTAGTTTGGCTGTGAGTTATTTAGAAGGTTAGAAAGAAAACCATCTAGAAAATGTGTCCTCCTGTTTTCTACACTGAAGACTGACTGACACTCATAAGACAGGCAAGAGAGCATGATGGCTAAGAGGAGGGGCAGTGGCATCAGACCTGGCTGGGTCCAAATCCCAGCTCTGTCTCTCACTGGCTATGGGACTTTGGGCAAGTTATTTAACTGCTCTGGGCCTCACTTCCCTCACCTAGAAAGTGGAAATATCAATAATGACCTGGGAGGGACCTGGTGTGGTTAACACAGAGCCTGGCATCTATTGGGCCTCAAATAACGCTTGCCTGCTAATATGATATTATGGCCCGAGGGGTTGTTAACTAGAGTCACCATCCTGTACATTACACCCCAGGACTTATTTATTTTATAACTAGAATTTTGTACCTTTTGAACCTCTTTATCCATTTTGCTTCTCTCCCAACTCCTACCTCCGACTTTTCTCTGCATTTGTGAGTTTTTTGTTGTTGTAGTTGTTGTTGTGTTTTGTTTTAGGTTTCACACATAAGTGAGATCATACAGTTTTTGTCTTTCTTTGGTGACTTACTCCACTTAGCACTCAGGTCCATCCATGTCACAAATGGCAATATTTCCTTCTTTTTTACTTGGCAAAGAAGCTGAGTGGATAAACAAAGCTGAGTACATATTTTCCAAAGAAGGTACACAAGTGGCTGGTAAGCACATGAAAGATGCCCAACTTCACTGATCTTTAGGAAAACGCAAGTCAAAACCACAAGGAGGTGCCACTTCATACCCACTAGAATGGCTATCATAAAAAAGAGACGTAACTAGTTGGTGAGGGTGTGAAAAAATTGGAGTCCTCATGCACAGCTGGTGAGAATGCAAAACAGTGCATTCGCTTTGGAAAACAGTCTGGCAGGTCCTCACCCAGTTAAACATCGAGTTACCATATGATCCAGCAATTTCACTCCTAGGTATGTATCCAAGAAAGATGAAGCATATGTCCACACAAAAACTTGTACATGAATATTCATGGCAGCGTTCTTCATAATAGCCGAGAAGTAGAGACAACTGAAATCTCCAGAAGTGGGAGAGTGGCTAAACAAAAGGTGGCATGCCCATACAATGTAATGTTACTCGGCGATAAGAAGAAATGAAGCCTTGATAAACGCCAGACCACAGATGAACCTTGGAAACACTAAGTGAAAAAAGACAGTCATAAAAGACCCCATATCTCTGATTCTCATTTATATGAAATACCCAGAATAAGCAAATTCATAGAGACTGAAAGCACATTAGGGGTTGCCAGGGGCTGGAGATCGAGTGATGTTTGGGATAAGGTGGAGGTGACAGTTAAGGGTTATGTAGTTTTTCTTTTTGGGCGATGAAAGTATCTAAAATTAGATTATCATACCCAGCCAGCATGGCCCAGTGTTTGAGCCTAGGCCTATGAACCAGGAGGTCATGGTTTGATTCTGGTCAGGGCACGTGCCCAGGTTGTGGGCTCGATTCCCAATGTGGGGCATGCAATTCTCATCATTGATGTTTCTATCTCTCCCTCGCCCTTCCTCTCTCTGAAACCAATAAAAATATATTTAAAATTAGATTATGGTGATGTTGGCACAATTCTTTACTAAATGCATATTAAATGGGTAAGATTTTGCCAAAACCCGTTTGGCTCAATGGATAGAGCGTCAGCTTGGGGACTGAAAGGTCCCAGGTTCGATTCTGGTCAAGAACATGTACCTTGGTTGTGGGCATATCCCCAGTAGAGGGTGTGCAAGAGGCAGCTGATCGATGACTTTCTCTCATCGATGTTTCTAGCTCTCTATCTCTCTTCCTTCCTCTGTACAAAATCAATAAAATATATTAAAAGAAAATAAAAAAATAAATGGGTAAGATTTTTTGGTGTGTGAATTGTAGCTCAATAAATACACTAAAAAGAAGAAATGCTCTCCTGTGGCTAAGAGATTGAAATGTATTCATTGGATTTGCCAAATAGAAAACTGTTAGCAGGTGGGTGAGAGAAGTTTCAGGAAGTACTGGGGGTGGGGAAAGTGTGGATGAGTGATGAGAAAGATGAGACATGAGGGTCTTGGCTAAGATCCTATCTTGCCCCCTTAAAGGCGAGACTGGCACTGACCCACAGTGTGGAGACTAGGTCATCAAAGCCAGACCCAATCCATGGCCCAGGGGTCAGATGGCGAGGCTT